TTAGATTAAGTCAAGTTTCTGGGACGGTCAGGAATTAGTGATGCATAGGGGAGCACAAAAGTATCCAAATATGATTATGTAGGAAATATATGTATTTGTATCTGTTTAGATACGGATATTGTTACTAATATCTATAACCGATAGGATATGGTTCCAAATATGGTTCTGTAGTGAAATATCATGCTCCGTATCTGAAATATTCGAATATATATTGCTCATACTGTTGCAGTAGTTTAAATTTTTAAATTAATGGATTTAAGGTTAAATTTGATGATCAAGAAATCTAATCTTAACTTTTCAGATATAACCAACATATTAATGAACTCTCTTGTACCATATGAACTATATTGTATTCAATATTACCTAGTTTTCTCATGTCCATTTTGTATCTGCATGTATATCCGCTTATATATCCACATGTATATTTGTAACCGTATCCGATTTTAGCGGATATTGTTATGGAATTTTTTATCAAGGCATATTCGTATTTGTATTATTATCCGTGATTAGTAAGCGGATACGGATATGGTAAGTATTATATGTGAGTCATATTCGGACCAAATGTATTGCACCTTCACACTCCAAGCAAATGCATGCAGATTAGAGATTAACAAATTTCAATTAAATTCTTAAGCCAAATTGCATCTCTGGAAAAATATGAGGGTTTTTGAGATATTGGTCCCCAGATCTCATATTTTGATACAAGTCCTCCAAATGATCATATTTGGATACAATGTCCCTTGAAAATCATCTATTTGGATATACGTCCTTGGAATCCCATCTATTTGGATACGAGCCCAGCGAATGTCATCTATTTGGATACAAGTCCCGCGAATCTCATTTATTTGGATACAAGTCCCTCAGATCATCATATTTGTCCTCTAAAATATTAGGTCCTTTGAACTAAACTTATAAGACTATTAGGAATTAGAGTTTAAATTGGAGTAATTTTAGGAAGTTCAACAAGATAGAGTTGGTTTTAAATGAGTTCAAAGGATACATTGACTTCTTTACCTATGCAAGAGGGTAGGTCAAAGACAAGGGCAAAAATGCAAAAAAGAAAACCAACAAGGCCATTAGTTTAGTTCATTTAAGTGGATGAAAATTAACCATAGCAATTTATTTCAGTAGCTTAATAGTTGTTGGGGACTAGTATCCACATAAGATGATTTGTGGCCCCTGTATCCAAATCGATAAGATTCAGGAGATCTGTATCAAAATCTTGATAGTTTTAGGGAACTAGTATCCACATGAGATGATAAATGAGAATATGAGATTTGACGAACCAACATCTAAAAAACCCAAAAGATCAACATGCTAATGGAAGAACTTTGCATAGTTGAGTGTGGGAAGAGTCTGCTTGCACATATATACACTTTGAGTGTATCACTTTCATTTAATTTCAATAAACTAGTAAGGTTGTTGGTGGAAGAGTCACAAAAGCGAAATGTGGGCAAATGCCCTCATTAAAGTTATTCTCTGGATTAGACATATTGTATATATTATACTTGAGTAAAAAAGACTCTTTAAGGAGCCCAGCGGCTAGAAAAACTTCTCCCATTCACTTCTATTGTCATCACATGTCACACAAGAAAACGGTAAAAAAGACTCTTTGAGGAGGCCAGCGGCTAGAAGAGGAGGATGGATGAAATAAAATGGCTTCCTTCTCAATTTTAAAGGTAAGTTGTATGTAGTATCTGTTTCTTGATAGGATGAGGCAATTAGGTTGTATATAGTGTCATTTCCGGATAGGCTCTATCCTTTTCAAATTAATGTTCAAACAATTACTTTCTATATTAGGGTTGTTGTCGTCTACTTGTACTATCAATGTTCTATTTGTGCTATCAATATTCTATTTGTATGATTCCAAATGAGCAGACGGAAAATGAGCATTTATTAGTTATTAGAAGGTGGAGGTAGGAATCATATTTTCATTTCTAACTAATTACCAATGAAGCATATTTAGGTTTGGATATTTCTGGCATATCAAGTAATTGCTCCTGCTTTTATTCTCTAAATGCACATGGATATGAAACATCCATGGTAAGCAAATTAATAGCGATCTTCATATTTACCTGTTCTAGTGGATTTATTTTCTATAGTATCATATGCACTGTTTTAAAAAACCTCTACCTAGTCCGCTTAGGCGTACGTCTAGGCCTAGGCGGTACCTAGGCCACCTAACTAGCGCCTAGCGCCTAGGCGATATTTAGGCTGCCCACCTAGATTTTACGAGCGTTTAGGGGAGAATTGTCTGCTTACGTGGATTGCACCCTGTAGGCCTTGATTGTGATTTTATGTGTCCTAGCCTACACGTCCTCCAAACTCCATTAACCTCCTAATATGAACACATCCACTACCTCCTCCGACCTTCAACAAAACATCATCGACCACCACTTAAATGAAGAAAGAAAAAAAACGTCCAGAAACCGCTTAGGCGTCCGCCTAGGCGACTAAGCGCTAAGAAAGAAAAAAAATATCCAGAAACCGCTTAGGCGTCCGCCTAGGCGACTAAGCGCTGGGCGCCAAGTCCAACGCCTAGAAGCGCCCAACGTGTAATATAACATTGATCATATGTGTATGTCGATTTATGGTAATAGTTTATTTATAAAAAATGTAGTTAGTCGTATATGGTTGAAATGATTTATAAAAAAAATAGTCTAGCCTCTCGCCTAGGCCTAGGTGATTCGTTGCGCGATTCCTCAGACCCCTCTTGAACCGTTGTACGGTTCTTGCGAAAAGATTCCCTATATATTTGTGCACTGATTCCCTTCAATACGCAAACAAGTTCCCAAAAATTAGTGTACCACTTACGAGTATGCTAATGTATAGTCTCTTTAAGTGCACGTGCACAAGACGCAATGCAATGTGAGCAATGAAGTGAAGGAAGACACATAATACAGTGTATGAGCCAATGACTTTACTGTAACTAAACACATGTTAATTAAATGTAAAACGAAACCATAATCCTAAAACGAGCTCAGTAAAAAAAAGAATAAAAAAACAAACTTCATCAAAAAGAAGTATTTAAGTATTTTTGTATGAAAAATATGTTAAAATTCATAATTAGCTTTCTAGTTTTCTACCATATATTTTGGAAAATTTTAAGCGCACCCTAAAAAAAATTACAACATATCGCTAACCGAACTCGCATACCAAAGCAAGCTACGCCCTAACGAATCCAAGTTTTCTAAGTGGCGAATTGCATACCCGAATTCGTACCATGACCCGCTACGTACCGCGTACTGTGTTACTATGCCTAGATGATACTTAGGCAGCCCACCTAGATCTTGAGAGCGCCTAGGGGAGCATTGACTGTTATGTGGACTGCAAAGCTTAGGTCGTAGTCTGATTTCCTCTATTGTGGCATCGATGTCCTCCTACCTCCTTGGCCTTCTCTTTACTAACACCGATCACCTAATCCAACCTCCATCAAAATCTTCTCCACCTTCAATTAAACAAAAAACAATCCTCCTAGGCCCCACCTAGAAGGCCGCCTAGGTGCCAAGTTAACACATAGCAGTGCCTGGCACTTAGTATAACAATGGCTCTTATTGATTCAATCATTCCTTTCATGGAACAATCTCTATTCAGTCTGACTGAGCAGTTTGCATACATGATTTCTTGCACCTGTATACCAATCTTCCTGCCTTATACATGTTTCTTTACCATCTGCACCTACTTGTTTTTACTTACCGCTTCATCTAAAAGCCCCAAAAAGATTCATATAAAATATGTTAAATAAAAATTTTTACATCATGCATTCTGCATTATGCTTGCTATTGCATGCAATGGCATTTGCTTCAAGATTCTATTTTTATGCATTAAAAGGAAGATAATCCAAAGCCAAAGCTCCAAATGAAGCAGATAAACTCGGCTAAACGTAAAACAACAGTAAAATAAAACAACCAAAAATCGGAAAGGGGAACAGAGAGCTTACCGGTCTCCTCACAACCACTCTCAAGCTCCCCCACGCCGAAGATCCCCCATCAGCCGTGGACGCAGGCGAGGCCATCGAAGTATAAGGCTTAAACGCCCCGCCAAAAGAAGCCCAGAGAGATCCACCATCGCTCTTGCTTTTTCCAGCCTCCTCCATCAAAATTCAACCCCAATTTCAACCCTCCCCCAACATCCGATCACCAATCAAACCCTCAACCTTATCCAACAATCAGACCTCCTCTACTCAAAAATGCCGACGGACTCCAATTCCATCAACGTCCAGATCAAATCGGAGAAATCGACGGAGGCGCCGGAATCCTCAATGCCTCCGATCGCCGGCGAGAAGTCTTGGGGGACTCGGTCGGGCCGATGAATTAGGGTTAGGGTTTACAAGGGGGCGATGAATCAGGACGCGATTTTGGGGCAAAGAGAAGACCAAGAATCTCTCTCTCTCTCTCTCTCTCTCTTTCTATGGTTTCCTTCTCCGCCTCCGCTTGCTGCCTTCCGCCTCTTTTCTCTCCCCTCTCTCTCTCTCTCTCCCTTGTCTAAAAAGACTCCTGTTTTATATACAGCTCGGCATTAACCATGGTTAACTAGCTCAGTGACTCTAAAGAGACCTACAAATTTGACCTCAAATTCAACACAGACTCAAACGCTGCGTAGGGCCCAGTGAGGGTGTAGCGCTCCCTGTGAGTGAAGTTGAGGTAACCGTACCGTTGGGTCAACGCAGGAGATTTCTTCCGAATTACTCGTCCCGAGGGGTAAAAAATCTGAAAATGATTTATTGACGTTTTCTTTTTTCCATATTAGTACCTCGCATCATTGTGTTTTGATTTGGACCCTCAAGTTATTGATATTGTTATTCGAACCGCAGCACAATCCTCACAGCTTGTTCCAAATTTGCTCCTCCAAATCATTTTCTCATAAGTTGTGTAAAATTTATTTCGTCAAGTTAATAGTGGGTTTTGTTATTTGAACAGCTTAAAATATAACATATTTACGGTTATTGCTGTGAAAATGCTCCTTAATTTGAATATAGGCGCAGTCCTTATATGTTTAGCTTGCGTTCTTAACCTTTTATCGTTGCAGCAACATCCAGCCATAAGATTTATACCAGAGTTTTGAGTATATTTAAGCAATATTGGCTCCAACTACAGCGCCCGAAAACACCCAAAAATGGGTGTAGCAATACGCAAGGACTAGTGGACCGAATACCAATTTCAAATACGCAATAGACTGAATTTGTTTTTTTTTTTAAGACTCATAATGGGAAAACCAGGAGTAATTTGGGATTGGACGGTGGGGATTTGATCAGGGGAGGAGATCTCGGTCGTTGGATCGTGGTCGGGGGAATCATTGGTGGCGCGTGTGTTAGTTATAATGGGATTCCGAAGTGAAGCCCGCCAGGGTGATGAGCGGTTGGGCGAGGTGTCGCCGTGTTGGTTAGGAGAGCGGAGACCGCATTCACGAGCTTGGCACGTGGTCATCAGTTGCGGCTCGGGGGCCCCTCGGCAGAAGTAGAGGGTCTTGGCTTTATCCTGTAGTGGGCCATGAGCTCGTCATCGAGCGAGTCTAACGGACTTCGTGTAATGGGCTGGGTCCACATTATGGGCACTCACGCTGAACCGAGAAAAACAACATGGATAATAGGCCGGGCCCAAGAAAGAGGGAATACAGCATTTTATTCACACCTCAGCCCGCAAGGAAATATAAGAATGATCTCCCTCTTCCTGTTTGAAAATATTATTACACTACGAATGTTTGGCCCCCCTGTGGATGCACAATGCTCATCATTAAAATGTTGTCGCGTTTGCCGAGACAAACGTACGGTTTTGTGCCTGAAATTTTGACGCCAAAGGAGTCGGAAAGCTTCTCATGCATTTTATGTACGACACTTGGAAAATGGAAGAAGTAAAAAAGGCGTAGAGTAATTAATTAATTAATAGGATAAATGGAAGTCATATATGTAACTAAGGGGCTGTGTGGTTGTTTTCCGAAAAAATTCGGAAATGGAAAACTCACATTTCAACTCATTTCAAGACATTTCCTGCATTTCTTTTTTTTTTAATTTCGCAATTAAATCATCATCACGACACCGCCACGTCACGTAAGAAACAAATCCAACCTCAATAGTAGCAGTGTTTCGATTTACATTTCTTGTGTTTGTTTGAACATAAAAAAAAAGGAAATGAAAACTAGCCGCAATAGTAACAGTATTTTCAGCAATTAAACAATCTGTTTTATTCACAGTCATTGTTTCAACAGTGCTTTTAGTAATTAAAAATTCATTAAAATGACATTTCCAAGTGTTTTCAGAGGTTTTTTGTGTGAAAACACTTTTCTCAAAAATCTGACGTGGCATCCTACGTGGCACCCTCATTTCTTTAAATCACAAAACAAAACAAACATGTGATTTGAAAATCGGTTAAAACCAAAATCCTACGTAGCATGAGGGATTTCTTGAAATCTGACGTGGCGGAGGGGGGTTCTTTTTTTTTTAGCAAACAAACATCTCCTAAATGGCAAGTGTTGCAATTTCGCGACGAGCAGAGCAAAAGCCTATGAGGAGAAAAAATAAAACAGCTCTTGAGAATTGAACATTAAAAATGAAGGTAATCGTCGTTTTCGTGGCGCCCTGCAGTCCCATTCTTACTTTAATTCTTTGTTGGTGGAGAATTGGAATTCACCATGGAACTGAATATTTTTCAACGGTCGTCTCTTTGCTTTTCAAAGAAATTTCTTGCATTAGTTGCTTGAGTGAAAGATATAAGTTTGACAGGTGATCAGCGGCACTATGGTTTCTTCTCATTAAAAAGCTTCAAAACAGTTACATCAATAATACCAACTTTTTTTAACAGAAAAGATAAAATTACAAACTTGAAGACTACAAACAAATATTACGTATAAAATGATTTTTCACTAAAGAAGAATAGAGTACTCCCGGTTATTCCATACTCTAATTATTATATTCACCTAGTTATATAAATCTATCTAGCTCAAATTTTCTTCCACGGCCGAAGTCTGGGTGGAAATTTAATGTATATCCAATACAATCTTTTACTAGGGTATACATTAAAGCAAAACCAAAAGACCTCAAAACTCACAAGATGTTGGCACATAAGATTCCTCCTTCACAAATAATTTTGACATGTGGACGTTTATTTACGCCGTCCATTTAAAAAAAAACAAATTTTCTTTTAGCCGCCCAAAAGAGAAAATCAAATCCTTTAAAAACCAAATATTCTCAATACCAAAACCGAATTAACATTTACTACTATATTTTGGATATTTCGGATAATTATAGAAATTGTGATCGAGATTTTTAAAAATGAAATAAAATACTACCAAATATTAAGAGCGTGATTTTAGAAATTCATATAATCACGATAATCATATATTTTCTACCGACAATAGCCATAACCTCTCCATCACCTCTGGTTCAGATTTTTGAACAGCATTGGGATGTTTGTAACATTTTTGGATTTTTAAAAACTTTTTATATATTAATTATTATTATATTTTTGGATTTTGATTAGTTTTTTAAGCTTATAGGTACGTGGTCTTCGTCTTCGTAGAGGGAGCCTCCAATGGATAGATCAAACGAGGCAATTAATTTATTTATTTTGAAGTATTTTCAGATTTTGAAAATTTATTGTATATAAGTTGTCGTTATATTTTTAGATTTTTAAAAATATTTTAAGGTTATATGTATGTGGTCTTCGTCTTTTCGTAGAGGGAGCCTCCAATGAATAGATCAAATAAAGTAATTAATTTATTTATTTTAAAACATTTTTTAATTTTGAAACTTTATTATATATAAATTGTTGTTATATTTTTAGATTTTTAAAAATATTTTAAGGTTATAGGTACGCAGTCTTCATCTTTATAGAGGGAGCCTCCAATGAATAGATGAAACAAGGTAATTAATTACTTTATTTTGAAATATTTTTAGATTGAAAATGTTTTTATATAATCATATATTTTTAAAATATAATATAGAAATTTTTTAATAATATTGAAATTTTTTACCTGAGTGCAATGAACAACACCAATCATGATTATGCTTTTTGCGAATCTATAATCAGGAATTCGAATGAACTCCGAGAAATACATTAGATAAATGTAGAATTGGCGACACAGCGACGAAGTTTGGATTTTTTTGAAGCAAGGAATATTTTGGATGCTGCACGGTCGACTGCAAGTGGCGCTGCAGTCGACCGTGAACGTGCACAGCACAGGAAAAGTCTCTAGACTTTTCGCGGTCGACCGCAAGTGGCGCGGCGGTTGACCGGCAAAACCATGTAGTATTTTTTTGGTTTCAATCGTTGGATCCGGTCAACCGAGATGGGTTCGACAGTTGACCGCGAGTCAGGTATGGACCTGCTTTGGTTTCCTGCACTGTTTGAGTTTCTTGTTTTATATAAATAGGAATACGATTTGTTTAGGGTTTATTGGATCATATTAATCACTTTTAGGGTAGCTTGAAGGAGAGTTTTGAGCACAGAAAATAGAATTCTTTTCTGCGCAAATTGTTTGAGGGTTTTGTGAGAGATTTGAGGGTTTTGTTTGAGATGTTAGTTCGAGTGATCTTGTAATCTCTATTTTGTACTCTTTTTCTCTATAGTGAAAATCATTTCGCTTCTTGCCCCATGGACGTAGGCAATTTGTCGAACCACGTTAAACTTTGTGTTTGAGTTTGTGCCATTATTGTTTGATTTGAGTTGTCTTCTCTCTCGGTGTTTGGTTTGGTTCCTCGGTGCACAACAAGTGGCTTCCGCACACAACAAGTGGCTTCCATGCACAACAAGTGGTATCAGAGCTCGGGCTACGCTTGAGCTATTTGGAGGAGTAGATCACTTTGGAAGTTCGGCTAGGGCTTCGTTTGGAGTTAAAGATGTGATCTTTTTAGTAAAAATTCTATCTTTTCTCAGTTTTGGATCTATTCTTTAGTTTGTTCTACATTGGTTGTTGGTGTATTGAGGAAGATGACTAGGAAAGAAGGTACTTCGGGTGTTGAGGGTGGTGCTTCTGGCATGAAGATCATTCAAATTTTGAATATCCACTCTACGAAGATAGATATAAAGAAGTTTAATGGCATGAACAATTTTGGATTATGGAGATGTGAGGTTTTGGATGCGCTGAATACACAAAATTTGGAAGATACTTTAGAATTGAATGGCAAGCCAGATGATATTAATGAGAAGATTTGGTAGAAGATAAACAAAACGATGTGTGGTGTGATTAGGTCTTATTTGACTCAAGATTTAAAATATGATGTGATGAATGAGACTTCGGCTAAGAAGATTTGGGAGACCCTTGAGAGCAAGTATATGACCAAGAGTATGAAAAATCGCTTGCATTTGAAGATGAGGCTTTATCGCTTCTAATTGAAGAATGGAACCTCTATTGGTGATCACATGAACCACTACACGAAACTTTTTGTGAATTTGGCGAATGTGGATGTTATGATAGAGGATGAGTACAAAACTTTGTTATTGTTGAGTTTCTTTCCAGATGAGGAATATGAGACCTTTG